TCCTGGAGACTTATCCTAACCTTAACCATAACCAACACATGCCTAACCCTTACCCTTACCCTTACCCTAACCCTAACCAAGTCTTCACCCTAAAATTAATGATTCCCCTCATGGGGACCTCCATTTTGTCCCCATAAGGGAGGCGAGTCCCCACACGTGACTGTGTAAACAGATTTAGGTCCCCACAAGTATATTAATGCTAGGACACACACACACACACACACACACACACACACACACACACACACACACACACACACACACACACACACACACACACACACACACACACACAGGCAAACATCATGGGATGGCAGGTCTTCAGAGGCCCCTGGTACAGTAAGGGAGTCACTGTGCTGGCGTTTCCCCCCCGGTCCCTGCCAGCTCCCCCTGGCAAACTGCTCCTTCTGCTGGCAGGGACAGAGAGGACCGTCCCTGGATGAAAAAGGCAGGAACAGCAGCAGGGGTCAGGGCCGCCCTCCCCCCCTCAGAGCTGGCTCTCAGGTACTGTACGGACAGACTGAGAGCTGCTGTTGTTCCGCCGTATCAAAGTCTGGGCTGCCGTCCTGCTCTTATTCCCTGCCTGTCTTATCCCGAATCCTCCGTCTTCTAATCATGTCTTCGCTCGCTCCTTCCTTCTCTTTTAAAGCTCTCGTGTTCCTGTTTGCTCTCCACAAGGAAAGTTAAAAGGAGGAAAGGGATGCAGACGCAGGAAGAGAGGTATTTCAGGTGCTGTTGAGGTCCTCTTCAACACAACATGCTTATTAACATGATGAGTGTGTGTGTGTGTGTGTGTGTGTGTGTGTGTGTGTGTGTGTGTGTGTGTGACAGTGCTGGAGAGCAGACAGAGCAGCATACGTTGCACGTCTCTACGGTAACAATAACGTCTCACTCAAGGCTAATAATAATAATAATAATACTAATGGACCAGTCACGATAATAGACACACGTATGTGAATGCATTCAAGCACATAAACATCTTTTCGACACCACTATTATAAACTACAGGATGAAATTACAGCAAATGTCATAATATTAAAAGATTTCAAATATACCATACACTAAGCTAATATCTGCCATTAGTAGAAGCGAGACAGGTGGCAGATGCAGATATTACGAGTGTCACAAATACATAAATAGCTTAGATTGATTAGAGTAGAGACGTGTTTATCCAAACGGCAGACTTACTGTGAAAATACATAACCTACAAACCAATAAACCACACATTTAAAGCCTCATATGAAAGTGTGTGAGCTCCACATTGACAACTCCAAGGATCAGGCAAATGATAGTTTAATAATCGGATCTAAAGATGAGAAAAAGGTTATTTGTGTTCAGCGTTGGTCGTCAAAACGGCAATATAAATCCATGAGTATGATATTTCTAAATGAAGATCTGATAAATCTATAAGAAAAAGAGGAATATCTCAGTTTGAAGCAAAATAATTCCTATTTTGGTTTTCATATTCAAAGTAATCAAATCAGAAACCTGTGTCTTAAAGCCTTAAATCTGTGGGAGAGATACTGTAATACCGTAGCCAAAGTTGAATGAAAGGGTTTTTCTTCTAAACATTTCTCTCTGCAGTTACTCCTAAAAAAAAGGTGTGTTTTACAAACCCTACATTATATTACATTACATGTCATTGCACTGTGATACTATATGAGAAATAACAGCTAACAGTTTCACAGCAGCTCGATGCTACAGAGAGCCGGTCATTAACTGACGGAGCTCACACACTCAACACTAAACTGCTAATGATGCAGGCGGCTGCTGCAGTGTGTGCAAGGCAACATGTGCGTGGAAGTGAATAAAAGAGTTATGAGTGCTATTTTATGTATTTGTGTGTGCGTGTGTGTGTGTGTGTGTGTGTGTGTGTGTGTGTGTGTGTGTGTGTGTGTGTGTGTGTGAATAATGCTGGTCACCCTGCTGGCAGCTGCAGAGAAGAGCTAGGGAACGTTAGCGCGCCGCCAGCTCCAGATATACTATTGATTGGTACGGCTGGAGGGATAACACTGGCTTAGACTGCTGGGAGACTGTCAGACACACACACACACACACACACACACACACACACACACACACACACACACACACACACACACACACACACACACACAGCAGATGGAATATTTATCTGTCCTCATCAAATTCATAAAGTTTTGAGAGTGAGACAAACTAGTTAATGTTTGGTGTTTCAGTCCCTGCAGGGTTTATGAAATTCAGAGCAGCTCACAACGCTGTTTTCCATTCTGATCTACAGGGCCGCTCGCTCGTTGAGTCTTTGCACAAAAAGGTACAGAAATGTATAGAAATACAAACAGTCCAGTTGGGCATGTATATAACTATGTGCATGTTAGAGAAAGGGTGTGTGTGTGTGTGTGTTTGTGTTTGTGTGTCCTGGGACCAAAGAAAGTGGTACAGTAGCAGCTCGGTTGCAGGCAGGGAGCAGATTAATCCACACAGAGCCAGAATGCTGCCCCACAGCCTTAGGCATGGACGCATGGCAGTGTGTGTGTGTTTGTGCTTATGTGTTTATGTGTATATTTTAGAAACAGACAGGACAAATAAATAGGACAAGACGGTAGAAGTCACAAATTAGAAAAATCAGCAGGACGTGACAGAAGAGAGGAAGAGGAACAGAAGAAGAAGAAGAGTAGGGGAAAAAGCTGTGATTAAAAGGTCCTGTCCTGTCCTGGTCCCTGTTGGGGCGGCCATGTGGCAGCGAGGCTCTGCTCGCGGGGCGGGGGCTTTGGCAGCCTGGACACCACTAGATGGGACGGGCACACACAGCCTGTGGCTATACCAGCCCAGATACCCAGCAGGCTACAGGGAACACACACACATACACACACACATACACACACACACACACACACACACCTCATATACTGGGCACACTGAACGTACACTCACATATTGTCGGTGTCACACGGAGACCTTCTATCTCCAAAGTGTCATCATTTCGAAAACCGGTTTGTGTTGACACTGTTTTTTTTACATTTTGCATGTTTCACTAACAGCTGACTGTGCTGTTATGTTTATGAAACATTTACAGTAACAGTAAAAAAAAAACAAAAAAAAACCTACAATGCAAAACATATACAAACAAAAATAAAAACAAACAAATAAATGGAGTCGGCTCAAATCCATTCCATTCAACACTTAATAAAAAAATAGCCACGGAGAAATGTGTCAACCATAAAAAATATGAGAAAACAGAGAAAACACTCCCCATGTGTTTTCTCTGACTCTGTTCCATCCCTTTAGAAAGGACCTTACGCTGCTCATTGTTTGGTATTCAATAAAGAACCTATCTAATGCATTGAGAGTACAGTTAGACTCATTCCCAGCTTTGTGTATCTGAATGTAATAATAATAATAATAATAAATTCGATTTATAAAGCACCTTTCATTGCTCACAGCAATCCCAAGGTGCAAGTTTAGACTCATTCCCAGCTTTGTGTATCTGAAGTATCTGAACGTCTGACTTCCTCCAGGCAGCGGACACTAACCCTCTCATCTGCCCTCTCCACTGATGGCAAACATGGGAAGTGTCTGAATTTCACTCCTGTAACCCTGAAATATTTTCTCTTCCTTCTCATCTTCCTCTGTCTTCAGGTCTTCACCCCCCCCTCCCCCTCCCCCCCTCTCTTTTTAATCCCGGCTACTTTGCATCTCTGTAACTTGGCTCCGAGCAAACAGTGTTATTTTTACACGCGGGCGGGCGAGCAGAGCGTGCGGGCGGGTGAGTGGCGGTGGTGGTGTAGATTTCCAGGTTTTTTCCGAGCACCTTCCTCCAACCTCGCCCATCTGCCGCCATCTGCCTCGCTTTAGCCCGCACTTTCTACTGCAATCACACACACAGCACACACGCGCACACACATAAATGCACACAGACGCACATCCTGTGAAAAATAACCAACAGCCTCCAATCAGCTTTTGGCACGCAAAGGAAGGGACTCTAAAAAAAAAAAAAAAAGCAGAAAATGCTGCGCCAAATTGTCCTCCATACTTTTTCAAGTGGGATATACACTATGCCTCTCCACTGCTGCCTTCATCTCCACATCTACATCGCTCTGTCTCCACCACCCACAGTCCTGCAACACCTCGCCAGCTCGCTGCGGCCTTCGAGTGAAGCAGCGCTGTTGGCTGGACAGCGGATGACTGGAAAAATGATTACAAGAATGTAGTTTTTTGTGTGTGCGCGCGCTCTGCCCTTTTCCAATTCAACCGACACCCTCGTTCACACGTATAAGCTGCATATTTACTGTTCACCCTGACATTATGGAAAGTGTTTGCCTGCGAGATTGCAAATTAAAATGCACATGCATAAAATCCACCATAAGAAGGTTTCAAACGTCAGAGGATGAAGTGCATTGTGGGTAAAGGGTGGCGATGCTTTTATGTACTACAAAGACTGCTCAGTTTAGAGATCCTGACAAACAGTCAAGATCTGCATGTAATGTATATATGTATGTAATTCATCAGGTGCCTTTGAACTATTTAATGATTGTGTTTGGAAGAGTCTACATTGTGTTGTGGGTGTGCTTATCTGTCACCTATACATCATGTAAACAAAATACCCCTACTTCATGTAATCACTCTCACAAAGGAGTGTAAAATATCATTTAAGATATTATATATTGATGTTTGTTTTATGATTGAACACATTTAGGATTATTGAGCAGATGGATAGTTGTCGTACCTAAAATTGAAGCATAAAAACTACCATTTTGTAAAAAAATAAACAACTAGTCAGAAACAGTAATGTGTATTCGTGCTAAGGAATCTGAATTTCCATTTGATGCTAAAATCCCTGCTAAAAAGTAACCGATGGTTCTCTTTTTAAAATCCCCTTTGAATGGCAAAGATGCTGTATCATTATTTATGACCTTCAAATTCATACCTTACTTCTGGTTGTTAGAAACCCAGGGATGAAAGGTTGTTCTACTGCTGCACGCTTAACTAAATGCATGATATGGCTGTATAGAGCACAGATGGGTAAATAGTGTTAAAGATCAAATAAATCGAGTGGAAATGTGAAAATACTTTGAAATGTAAGCACCAAGAAATGAGAGAAAGAGTCTAAAGAGCACAGATCAAAGGGCCTACCTCAGGAGCAAGGTACTCGGGCGTGCCACAGAAGGTTTTCATGGTAGCAGCGTCTGTGATGCCCTCCTTGCAGAGGCCGAAATCTGTGATTTTGATATGCCCGTCTTTATCCAGCATCAGGTTCTCCAACTGGGAGGGGAAAGAAAATACACATCAGTTCCCACAATGCAACTCAGTGGAACATCAAATTCTTATTGTGTCATCATTTGCGACTGAAAATCAATACAATACTCGCTTTTTTATTGAGTACAATTATTTTCGTGTTGCCGGTGAGGAAACTCACCCACATTGTTGCAGTACACACACTCAGACACACAAACAGGCAGAGGAGGGAGATGCACTTCAGGCGTGTTGTGGAGCCACTCAACCTTTACATTTTAATGGCTGAAGTGTTTTTCTCACTTTCTGTCTGCTTTTTCTCCTTTCTGTCTTCTTGGCTGCTGTGAGCAGAGCCAATGCTGCCAGGCAGACACTCAGACATCTACCTCTGTGGCATCGGCATCAGCACCCCCTCCCCCCTCCCCCTCCCACACTTCTTTACTGCTTAATGTCTGAGTGGGCTTTTCCCCATCCCTCTCTTAATTACTACACATCCTGCACCACTCCTCTCCTCGTGGATGCAAATAAACAAACTCTGGAACACAAGGTGTGGGGGCACAACAAAAAGTTTTCCCCCCCAAATATCTGATCACTCTCATCCATGCCCCCAAACCAGCCTCCCCTCCCCCTCCCCTCTCTGTTTCTGTTTACCTTGAGGTCCCGGTACACAATCTTGGCTGAATGCAGGTAGTCGAGAGCCGAAACGATCTCGGCACCGTAGAAGCGCGTGCGCTCCTCTGAAAACACCCGCTCTCTGGACAAATGGAAAAACAGCTGCGGGAGAAAGAGGGAGGAAGAGAGTGGGGGAGAGAGGGGGGGAGAGACAGCAGGGACGGCACAGCAATAATTACTGATTTATTGGAGGAAATTAGCACAACACAAACTGGCTGCCCGCACCATATGAGATGATAAGATAGCGGAGGGGAGGGGGGGGTTGTGTGTGTGAGGGGTGCTCGTGCTGGGTGGGAGGGGGGGGCGTCTCGGAGGAGCGGTGGAGGCGGCTCGGCAGCTGGCGTCATCTCCCTCACACACACACAACACACACATACCTCTCCTGTTACCCCCTCCTGGGCTAGGTTTGGCATGGTGCTGGCGTAGAAGTTCGGGGCGACGGGGGCCAAATCCAAGAGTTTAATCAAATACACCAGTCTAGTTAAAGACAGGCCGGAACCGCCGCTGCGCCACCGCCACACCTTCCTCTTTCCCCCCCCCCTCCCATTTCAATGCCTGCAAAAGTGCAGCTCTCATTAGGGCCTAAACTGGGCCCTTGCCCCTGAGCCTTCCCGTCTTCATTTTACTCCATTCTCATATCCATCCCCTTCCCTCCTGCCAAGACGCTCGTTTCCATACTTATAAAAGAGAAGCCAACTCGTTTCTCTCGCCCCAGCGTGGCGTGACCTCTTGTTTCTCCCCCTTCCTGCCTTTTCATTGCTCACCTCCCAACATTCCCTTCATCTCTCTCTCAGCTTCCCTAGCTGTCAGTTCGTCGAGTTGTCACTGTCACACGGATGTACACATGTGGCGGCTGAAATGAGCACCAAAGCCCCTGCTGGCGGCCGGCAGCAGTCCAAGTCGGACAAATTACCCAAATGAGGCCAAGGGGCTGCATAGTGCTCCCCATTAATTGTTCGGGGAGGTTTGGCATATGGGCCGCTGGAGTGATGCTCACAGACGCACCTGCTCAAATGGTGTCCGTGTGTAATATGTGTGGTGTGAGTGGTGGGGGTGTGGGAGAGGGGGGTAACACGAACAGGTGGGCCTTCCATCAGTGTACTGGCAGCTGTGACTGTTTTGGGGGCAAAGGTTTTTGTTTAATGGGTTTGTGTGTGTGTGTGGTGTGTGTGTGTGTGTGTGTGTGTGTGTGTGTGTGTGTGTGTGTGTTGTGTGTGTGTGTGTGTGTGTGTGTGTGTGTGTGTGTGGTGTGTGGTCACATTTGTCTGATGAAGTAAAAATGTGCTCTGTGTGTTTGTGTTAGAATGTGTGATTGGCTGGTGTTTTGTGTGTGTGTGGTGTGTGTGTGTGTGTGTTGTGTGTGTGTGTGTGTGTGTGTGTGTGTGTGTGTGTGTGTGTGTGTCTTTTTCTGACTCAACATCAAGCCACACTTATTGTGTTTGCTTCGGCTGTGTGTGTGTGTGTGTGTGTGTGTGTGTGTGTGTGTGTGTTTGCTCAGGCCTGGCACTGGCTGAACTTCCTAACTATCTGGGAGGGGAGCAGGTGACAGTTTCACTGAGGGAATGAACCAAGATTGCAAAAACGGCCCGATTAAAATCTGAGAAATGGAAAAGTGGGGGAATCCAAACTCATTTCGTCTCCGACTGTCATTTTGGCTATATCTGCCCCATAGGTGTGTTCATAAATAGACACGAGTAGGAGAGGGGTGGAGCGGGAAAAACAAATGAGAAGGCAAGCGAGAGGCCAGTTGGTTGGCAAATTAACTGTGTTAGAAAGCAATCGAACAGACAAACTTTTGCCACTTCTCGAGTGTTTCCACATCTTTACATTCCTCTGCTCCACTGCTATGGCTGTTCATCACCAAAAACACAATATTTCCCTATTTAAAAAAAGTATTTGTCTTGACATGTATAAAGTTAAGGAACCCACCCCACATTACAAATATCTATCGAATGACAATTATAGATATGCATTGTTAACGCTTTTTATAACCCTGATGTAACTATTATTGGACATACAAGATAAGAGAAACAGCTAAGAAATGTGTCTTTTTGGTATTAATGTGTATCCATAGTCCCGTTTTAACACAGCTTTAAGTTAAAGCCTTTTATTGTCATCATACACAGAGTATAACGAGATGGAGTAGGGTTAGTGAGTGCCTAAACACTGTCAGTTAGTGTGCTGGAGTTGTGGTTCAACTGGCTGTTTAAAGCGGTACCACAAAGACCGGTAACCACATACAGCACAACCATCATGAAAGTGTGTGTGTGTGTGTGTGTGTGTGTGTGTGTGTGTGTGTGTGTGTGTGTGTGTGTGTGTGTGTGTGTGTGTGTGTGTGTGTGTGTGTGTGTGTGTGGTGTCTTACCTCTCCTCCATTCACATACTCCATGACGAAACAGAGGCGGTCTTTAGTCTGGAATGAATACTTCAATGACTGAAACAAAGACACACACACACATAAACACCATTTATAAAAACTTAATTGATTAATGTGTGTCAAAAACATTAAATAATGTACGGTAGGCAACACGTTTGATTCCTGTTCAGTGCAATGTTTATTGTGTCTGTTTTGATTTCTGTCAATTCGCACTTATGTAGCCAGGTGCCTAATTTTACATATAGTGGACTGAAATGATCCCACAGTGCAAACGAAAACGTAGAGTATAAGTAAATCTTACTAATCATTATGACGCATTTACCGACACAATAGATTTCTATTTTATTTCGGTGCAATAGGATGAATTGAAAAGCCTCACATTTGGTTTTTGCCCAATAATACATTTGACCTGCGCTCCCTACACAGAGCACAGCCGGTTTAAGTGAGCAATTTTATACTCAGCAAGTAGTCCGGTCCCATTTGGTCTAAAACAGCAGGAGTGGCACAACGTGATCCTTCATAGCTTCAAACTGTTTATGTCTGTTTTTTCTTATTCAAAGCAAATAGATGTGTGTTTTTCTTTTGTGGAAGAAACTTGCTAAACAAAAGAACAGTTGGTTCGGAGTCTCTTTGTGGCCGCAGGTGTGAGGCGGGTAAACTCAGATGTAAAACGAATTTGCTCTCACAACAGTGTTTGTGAGAACGTTCATATACAATGTGTTTGTGTTTACATTGTTTTTTGATAGAAATGAGCAGCGGCTTGTATTGTTTGTGTGTATGAGCACTTGAAAGACGGTGTAAAGGGAACAGATGCGGCTGTTAATGTACAACAATTTGGTGTCTCACTCATAATTAGCCTCCAGAGACTCAGGTACGTAAAGGATCAATATGCTGAATGCGTATTCAACATGCTCTCTTACAGATGTCGGCACATTTGCATATGCGTAACAGCTAAAGTATTTTGTGTGAATGAGGTACTTACAGTGAGGAAGGGGTGTCTGGTGTTTTTCAGTACTCTGCTCTCTGTGAGTGTGTGAGCCACTTCATCCTGCGCAGATACGGTAAAAACAGATTCAATCAACCAAATGAACAGTTGAAGAGAAAAAAAGGCTTGAGTGCCACAAACAGTCTCTCAGACCCACCTTGGCTATGATGACTTCTTTTTTAAGGATCTTCATGGCGTAGTATTTACCGCTGGCCTTTTCCCGCACGAGAATCACTTTACCGAAGGTTCCCTTTCCAAGCAGCTTCAGGTAGTCGAAGTCGCTCATTGTCTTGAGGAGGCAAACGCAGAATGTCAGTAATGAATTTACGCCTCAAGTTTAACAGTTAAAATGGTCTTTTTCAGGTCCCACTTAGGCAGTGTTCATGTATCCTTTGATATGTTTCAGTCGAGTACCAATGCTATTCTTGATACATTGCTTTGATAATGTATAAATGTGATTTCTGCAAATAGTTTCTGTCATTTAACAAAAGAAGCTAAACCTCTCAAATGTTAAATGTTATCTAAACAACTATTAAGAACTCAGCCTGAATAAAATACAGCCTCAAATCTGCTACATTTGGATTTAAGGAACCGATCATGTAAACAAGATTACTACATTTGATTTCAATACTTGCTGCTACAGAGACATTTCCTTCGGTAGTTTCTTAGTATGTTTCGCCATCTAACAGTTTGTCCCGAACCAACATTTGTTGACAGTTACTGGCCAAAATGTCATGACATTTAATGTTGAGGTTAATAGACCCTTTTGGATGAATCTAACAATATGGACCATTAACATTTCTGACATTGCACTTAAGCAAAATTACTCCCGGCAAACCCTTTTTTAGACAGTTTGGTTTACTTGATACATCCAGTAGAAATGTAACCCCATGTGTGGCCTTTGTCACGCCCCTTTAATACTAACTACATTTACAAACGTTTGCATTAACGCTTTTACTTTATTTTAATATGGAAAAAACAATTAAAGCTCTTGTTATCAGGGGCTCTTTGAGCAAAGACAGAATAATGACAATGAACAACAATATTACAGCTGGAATCATTCCTTTTGAGCGCAGTGTGTGAGTATGAGTTTGTTGGTCTGTTCGCACCTGTTGTGTTACCTTGCGTTTGTGGTGCGTGGTGGAGATGTCCATCTCCTCCTCCACCATGTTGTCGATGTTGGTGTTGGGGCTGCACTGGATCCTTTCCTCCTCTTGTCTCTGCAGCTTGTCGGCCACCATCTGGATGGCCTCTGTCCACTCATCTCTGCATTTCACAACACACAACAAGACAATGTTTAGATAAGAGACAACATCTAATGTATCCGATCTGCTACGTCTGAACCATGATATTGTTTAAGTGGATGAGACGTGATCCTTTATATTTGTATTTCATGAAACCCAGTAATTCCATGCAACAATACATCAAGCAGATGTAAACTATAATATTGCTCGTAGATTCTTTAATATGGATAGTCACTTATATAACCGTTTTTAAAGGCGCTAAGGAGTTTTCAATTAACATTTAACACCTATTTGTTCAACAGAGAGGAAACATGGTCAACTAGAGAATCAACCAGCTGAGCAATGATCACAGAGCAGAACTAATGCCTACCAGTCTGTGCGTGTGTGTGTATTTAAGTTTATGTGTGTGTTGGCGTGTGTGTGTGTGTGTGTGTGTGTGTGTGTGTGTGTGTGTGTGTGTGTGTGTGTGTGTATGTAAATGCACACCCATGCATTAGAGAGAACAATGCATTATTGTTTGCTAACAGTGTTCCTCCCCATTGACTTTCCATTAGCACTGCTGTTCAACATCTGTTGAGAGAAAGTGTGTGTGTGTGTGTGTGTGTGTGTGTGTGTGTGTGTGTGTGTGTGTGTGTGTGTGTGTGTGTGTGTGTGTGTGTGTGTGTGTGTGTGTGTGTGTGTGTGTGTGTGTGACCATCATCTGTAGCAGAAGGCTAGCCATGCATCAGGTTATGTAGACACGTTAACTGCATTTAACGATGATGAATATAATGGTTTATAGGAACAGGGCCAAACTTCTGATCGAGAAGGGAAGAGAAGGACCAGGGAAAATGATAGCACAACATTAAGTTATTTTTTGCAATCATATGCGTCTCCAAAATGTGGTGAATTGCATGAAAGCAGATCATGTTGTCTAGCGTTAATATTTCAGTTTTTAAAGATAACGTGCTGAAAATGCAGGTTCGACGACACTAAACTGGTTTCAGAAAGAATTCTCTTTTCATTTTTGCCCCCACTGATCTTGACTCAAACAGTGTAAATCCTGTGCTGCTGTACATGCAAGGGTTACATGTTAGCATAAAACACCAAGAGCACGAACTGAGGTGAACTTAAGATGATATTCAAATACTGAGAAATCCTCAGCACTACGGAGCAGCGAGCTGGGAGTTACGGGTGTGTACTTTCAAACACACTTACCCAGAGTGAGAAGATCATAATAATTAAACCTGCTTGACTCCCAAATCATCACCCCTGTGTCTTTTGTTTTGTTTTGAGTTAGATGCCCATATGTTTCCTTGAGGGATCTGGAAGAACATCCTAAACACAACAGTGTGTGTGTTCGAGATTTGAATCCCTTTCTACTGCAGAGACTTCAGAGCGTACCCTACACACTCCAAAACAAGGGCAAACTCAAGTTACACTCCATCTACAACAATGGAGCACTCAGTTTGTGGCACCCACAATGTGTGTGTGTGTGTGTGTGTGTGTGTGTGTGTGTGTGTGTGTGTGTGTGTGTGTGCGTGTGTGTTTAGAGATATTTAGAGATGTGACACAAAAACAGGACGATACTGCAGAGATGAACAATCTTCATAATTATCATCAAAGAAAG